GGACATCTGTATGATTCGACACCAGGCATCGTGACACGCCCTTGAAGAGATGTGGTGTCAAAAGTAAGTTCACAAATTCAGCATCGCGTGTCCACCATTGGCGTTGATGCAGGCTTAACAACGACGACGCATAGACGACACTAAGCGATTGAAGAAAGCTTGCTGGAATGTTGTTCCATGTTTGAAGCAATGCATGTCCCAATTCAGCTAACGTCAATGGTTGATTCTGGACTTGGCGTAAGCGTCTCTCCATTTCATCCCAAGCGTGTTCGATAGGGGACAGGTCCGGAGAAACAGCTGGCCAGGGGAGTACCGGAATGTTCAGCTGTCTCAGGACATCTGTCACAACACGAGCGACATGTGGACGGGCATTATCTTGCTGAAGCGTGAAGTTACGTCTCTGTCTTCGAAGGAACGGCTGCACGTGAGGCCCAATGATCTCATCTCTTTATAGCGGACCTGTTAGATTGCCTTTGACAATGACAGGTTGTGTCCGACCATAAGATGTGATGACTCCGCATACCATAACGCTCTCGACACCAAACTGTCAACGTTAAACAACGCACGCGTCAGCATACAGTTCACCCTGCCACTTGTACACCCTTGCCCTGCCATCAGGCTGATGTCTCACTCGTCAGTGAACAAAGTACCATCCCAATCATGTCTCCTGTGCCGTAGATGTTGTCTGCACCAGGCAAGACATGCCTGTTGGTGATGTTGGAGCAAACCTGGACGTGTTGCAGGCAGTCGGGTTATGCTCCCTCAGTCGGTTCCGTACAGTCCTGGAACTGGTTGGACGTAAGCCATGAACGGCAGTCAAACTGGCAGTCTGGGTTTGATTCCTTAGATTCCTTATGTGGTTTGTCTTGCTGACGTCACGTCTCGCGTGGACGGCCGGTCCGAGGCGAATCTCTCGTGGTCCTATTATGTTGAAAACGTCTCCATAGAGATAAGATCGTGTTTCAGTGAAAACCAATATATCTTGCCACTTCATTTTGTGCCATTCCAGTCTCCAGCATACTGTATCCGTAGCATGACGTACGCGCAGTTTAGGTTGAAATTAACGTTTTCCACATTTAGAGGCTAGAGAATAATCAACCGTTCAATTTTCAATATCAGGTGTGTGAACTTCGGGTGGCAAAATGCATGCAAAAAGTAAGTTGTGTACAAAGATGCCACGCGCAATACCTGATATCAAATTTCATTCAGTGCTATGCTACATTATTATTTAGTTATTTTTATAACTTTTATTTATAGAGTTACTTTTTCCCGCCAGTATTGTAACGAAATTCTTTTCAGGATTTTCCTCTCACCTCACATTGCATCTCAAGTGACAAGATGACCGGTACTTGTAAGATCATTCTTTTGTATTCAATTGTCCAAAAATAGAACACATTTGTCATTCATGTCACATAGCATTCTTTTCTGTTGGTTTCACATCAAGTTCTTTAAACTTTTAGTTTGAACTTGGGGTTTAACAGGTAAACAGTTAACACACCAATGGTGATATTTGTAACATACCATAAAAATAATAGGGGATATTGGATTTACAAGATTGATAAAATGTAAATAATTAAACAGATGATGAAGAGAAATTAAGGGAAAATGTCACAATATATTCCATTCCTTTGGAAATGTTTTATCTGTATGGATATATATTACCTTATCTCACATGCACTGGCATTGACTGGTGGTCTGCTCGCAAAATGGAACATCCCCTACTTTAGAATGGTATACATGTATATATCATGATCAGCCCGAATAACAAGAGAAGACAAATGTGTTATGTGGAAATGATGTATGGCACTGTACTAAATAGCAGAATCAGGCTCTAATCGCTATCATTACTGCAGATCAACAGTACTAAAGTACTGTCGGAAATGCTAGAAAAGTGTTTTTGACTTATATTTAAAATTCAGAGGTATTACAGTTACTTAAATAACAAATATCAATTTAAGAAACATCTACCTAATGCAGACCGAGGGAATAAATTTTGAGACATGCCCTAAAATGCGTTTATACTGATGAAAATACCAAAAACTTAGAAAAATAAGGGGTAGTGGGACGTTATTTGATACAAACATTAACTGCCTGTGTTATGTCATCAGCATGCACGGTATCGACAGGTGAAATTGACCACCTGAGCACACGCGAGGGGTCATCTCAATAGATGTTTTCTTCAAAATGTTGAATATGTGTACGTATAGTATACGTATTGGTTATGTAAGGGATCATTTGTGTGTGTGTGTTTGTTGTGAAATATACATACGAATTACTGTACATTGGAAATAATCCTATCACTTGTGTTATCTTATCGATTGATTGTAGAAATGTGCAACGTTTTAATAAATGTTTTGCATGTCAACAGTATATTTCATTGCAAAAATATGAATGTAATTCGGTCAGTTTAATCTAGTTGTGAACATTGGCCAAAGATTCAACGAGGTCACTGGTGTAGCTTCTTTAGAATATATATTTTCTTCTTCTCCTAAAGTTTGTAGACCGCCCGTCTAAGTACCCCCTTGTCAAAGTTGTCAAGGATGGTTTTACGTCCCGGTTTTGCTTTTGAGACGGTCCCTGTCTTGTCTGATTTGTTGACAATATTGTAAACTTGTTGGTAAGACATACCAACAGCTCTACAAATTCTGTAATGAACCATTTCTATACTAACGAAAGGTTTACCTCGGTCTTTTTCAAGCACAAAACACTTATAAACCTTTGCAAAAATCGTCTGCAAATAGTTGGCCATAGTGGACGCTGTGATAAAGATGTGCATGCATGACGGGAAACTTATTTATCAAGACTTAACATTTATATTAATATTTATTCAATAAAGAAACGATAATTAAGTAAAGTAACACAAACATTCAACATTTATTTGTTTAAGAAAAAGGTTAATTTATATTTTTACCCCACCTGTATTATTAGCATAAATGTAAAGACTATTTCAGTTGTTGTTTTGGTACCAAATTCTCTCCTGTAAACTGCCCTTTAAATCCATGGGAATGTTAAACAATTGAAATAAAAATGAGGTACACTATAGGCGAGTTGATATATTGACAACATAATACATTTATCACCTTTCTAAAGATATTAAGGCTAAAAGCATGTTTCTAGCATTTCCGACAGTACTTTAAAAGTTACATGCAACCAAAAAATCGACCGCCTCCGTGGTGTAGTGGTTAGAGCGTCCGCCCGTGGAGCGGAAGGTCGCGGGTTCGATCCCCGACCGCGTCATACCAAAAGACGTTTAAATATGGTACTTGTTGGTCCCTGCCTGGCGCTCGGCATTAATGGGTACAAGGACTGGTCGGCTCGGAGTCAGTATACTGTGTCTGAGTGGGGTATTCATGCTTCACTGCGGCATGGTATCTCAGTGGGCTAGCACTATAAAACCAGCTTCAGTCTGGGCTAGTACAAGCAGCCGCACATACACACGCACATATGAGCGAAATATTCTCAAGCACGACGTAAAACCCAATTTCACCTCACCTCACCAAAAAATCAAATATAATTAAAACACAATTATCACTTATTCGTGACATATAATATACATTGCTGGTTATGAAAAAAAACATATAAACAAAATTATAAGCGTACAATCGCAAATCAAAAGTGCAATATTGTGTACTTGGGTTTACTTCCCAAGACAGACAGAGCTGGTGGGTGCGCACTCTCAAGTGTAACGGCTGGTTCATTTGCAGATGCCCTCACGGCTCATTGTGTGTGTATATATATAGAGATGTTGGGTTTTGTAAATACATGCTCATTTTTTGTGTATAACATTTTGCAATCAACCGACATCATAACATGTCATGTGTTCCAAGTATCACACCTGCCTGTCTGTGTAATTACATAATGTGACAGAGACCGAACTCGGGCCATAAATCAATGCATTTTGTTTATGGTGTATAGCCTGATTGGTGTTAAGTTCAAATTGCATGTGGTCAGTGATCGCAGTTGTGTATTGAATATTGTCATTAGCAGACAGGCAGGCAGACACACAGGTGTCAATAAAACAAGACATTGAGTTTTGTCTGTGACAACGACATATCTATATCACAGTTAGAAATTCTGTCAACCCTAAATAATGACATTGCTTTCAAGTATCGAACTGAGGAAGTGACTCGCTAAGAAGAACGTGTGGTGAAATAGACAAATGAAATTGTATAAACAGTTAATTTACTGTCATAACATATAAAAAGCTCGCGCCTGTGAGATATCAACAAAACATTAGAAAAACAGCTCACACCAAAGCCTTCACAGAGTATTCACCGGACAACCCGCTTCCAAGTTGCGCGAACCTATTTCACTGCGCACGTGCTATGAGTGCAGCCCAGCTGTTGGAACCACTTGAATTCCCCCCAAACGCTGGGGGGAAAATTAGTGAATCGTTTGAACTACGATTTTGCGCGTTTTTTTACATCGCGTTATTTTTCAACTTCATATGTTGAATTTGCATTTTTGATGATTTGTTTCGGTAAGTCCATACCGAAAGGTATCAGAATCTGCAAAGTTGTGTTTTACGTTGCATGTCTTGTGACTTTACTTTGCTCCAGTTTGATGAACATCACCACAATCATTGTTTCTTTCTAAACATATGGGATCGCCATGTCTGTTTGCCACTGTGCAGTCCTTGTCCGTTTCAGTGTCGTGCCAGCAAAGTTCTCCCAAAGACCAGGCTGCTATATTGTTCTTAGGCTCGTTTTGTAACAACACTGATGTTTGATAATAATGTCCATAAGCATGCAAACTTTCATTCATACACGGGTTTTTTTGTAGTTTCTCAGAAATCATATTCTCATTTCATGCAGCTTGGACCAAAGACGATAGCTCTGCAAAATATTAATTTGAGACACTCATTTTCAAATTTTGAACAGTTTGTATAATCGAAATTCTCCAACACCAATAGTTTGTGTGAAAATTTCTCCCCAATGCGAAGCAGAGAGATGAGTGAACTCCACCCCCACTTCAATGCAGGAATAACAACAAGAAAGACATGGTTATAAATATTTTATTCAATCACCATCACAGTAACCGATATGAAAGAAAAAAAAAATCTGGCCATGGTGACAGTAGCAGGTGTCCCCTTTGTTTGTATACCCCTGATTCAGACTAGACTGGAAAACCTGGGACTAGTCAAAACATTAAACAGTTCCTAGTCAAACTGAGTACTACCATGTAGGACTACAGTCTGAAGATCACTAACATTGGATATATTATATAGTCATCACATGCTTACCGACTGCTACAATGTTTTCTGTAAATTTGTTTATATGGTGAATAAATGAATTGAACAAAGAGGAAACAAAATTGCACCAATAATCAGTAACATTTTGATGTCATTAATAAATGCAAAGTGAACCTGTATAATTAACTTATAACTGTATATACTAAACATTTGTAACAACTGTGACAAATTCATTTTAGAATCAATAAATAACTGAACAAATTTACAGAAAACAAGTGTAAAAAGTGTTTCATCAATGCCCTGATATTGTGGTTTTGATAATATTCCAGTGTAAACAGTGACAAAAATTAAATTTCATTTGGGCCACAATCAGCATACAAACATTTCAAAATTGGCCCCTGATCTGCACCTAATCATTGGGGTAGTGAGGGAGAAAGATGAAACAAAGCAGCTATTTCAACTGAAAGCAAATGTGGGAAATAGAACCAAAATTAAAGTTACTGAATCAAAATGCCAAATCACCTAATCTGGACTAAATAGGAATGGAGCTAACAATCCGCTGACTATGCCAAGCAAAACTTCTCAGTTGAGAGGGTCAAGGTCGCAGATGAGTTCAGGTCGTGGTGACCCAAACACTTCCTCAACCTGATCATGTGTTTCAAAGAGGTCATGGCCTGCCTTCATGAAGGGGATCACCTTGGAGATAGGCTGATCCAGCTTCTTGGTCTGTTTCGAGTAAGTCTGTGCCCTGAAATCGGAAATGAAGGTAATGAAGAAGAGGACTAACACTTTTTGCTAATGCACTTACAGAAACTAAGTTACTGGTATACACAGTGAGTGAGTGAGGTTTTATGTCGCTTTTGGCAAAATTCCAGCAATGGATGATGATGTCCATAAAAAATACGGATCATGGATGACCTATTTCCATGCAAATGCCTTTCTGTTCAAAAACAATCCTAACTTTTCTGAATATGGTTTCAAGAACACCATCAGAATCAATAGAAAATAACAATTTTTCTATTTCATTCCAGGTGATGTTTTTACCACTCCCAATCCAATATATATCTTATGGAATGGTTGTTGGTTTCTTGGTAAATGCCGTGCTCAGCAATATCCTCGCTATGTGGCGGTGGTCTGTAACTAATCGAGTCTGGACCAGACGGTCCTGGGAGCCACAGCATGAGCACCAATCTGCACAATTGGGATACGATGACATGTGTCAACCAAGTCAGCTAGCATGACCACCCGATACCGCATCTAGGACAAGCATGGGTTGATGAAGACAAATTCTAACCCTGGGCCCACTTGCACAAAACGACTGTATATCTACAATAGTCGTAACTCTGATTGTAAGGTAATTGTAGGGTCACCCGCCTCTTGCACAAAGCGATCGTAAGCCTACAATAATAACCAAGCGTTCAAATGCCATTTCCCCTGAAACTCAGTTGCTGGTTACACTTTGTTACCTGAGTAAAGGAGGTTTTTTAATGGAATAGGTGATCTACATGGCGTTCACGAGTCCTCTGTGTCTCGCGCCGTCCATCGGACAATCCATGCCATAAACAACGTTTTGGACATCAAGTTCAATCCTGACGCAAATAAAGTTGGAATGCAAGACTTCTACAAAATAGCTGAATTCCCTGCGTTATTGGGGCAATTGATTGCAAATGCCTACAACTGATTGTAGCTAGGATCGTTTTTGTGCAAGTGGGCCCAGATCTTCAAGGGTCTCTTCCCGAATGGGGTCATGTATGATACCACAGTGCTATAGAGGGGTTATGAATCCGGGCAAAACATGAGCATATGTTGTTGTTCTCCTTACCAGACTACATCATGACACAGATAGAAGATCCTCGGCCTGGGCATCCCGTTGAAGGTGGAGGAAGCACAGATGGTGTAGGCCCCCATATCCTCAAAGTAGATCCACTCCCCAATCTGCATCTCAGGCAGTCGACACTCTTCCGTGATGCAGTCGAGGCCATCACAGGTTGGTCCCCACACACTTGACACAAAGGTCATATCGCTGCCATCCTGAACAAACACAAGGACAATATCTTAACACTTCTTGTATCTTACCATGTTGTTCACCACATCGGTAATCAATGTAGGAAAGCTCTTGGAAATTCCCACACAACAGTATCACTAAAAACATCAAAACCTCCAAAATAGTATTGGTTTGATAGTTTTCATATTTTGGGGACCACATTCTTTGCATAAAGCGTATTACAGTGGATATTTTGATTATGAATATGATACTGAATGTTTCTAACTTGCAGCAGTCAACAAATTTGAACTAAGAAAGGTTTGTTCACCCAGTAACTTGAAAGTATTCTTCGAAGTGTTATCAAATTTGGAAAACATATTTGTCTGAAGGAGAACAGCATTGTAAAAAGTCCTGGGTGCCGTTCCACTAACCGATCTTATCTAAGATCAATCTTAGCAAGTTACGCCAATTTTACAATCGTCTTAGCTAAAAGTTACACCCGTTCCACTAACCGATCTTAGGCCGATCGTAGCCGGTCCCGATCTTACGATCCGATCCAAGCTTAGATCGAGACTCTTTCGTGCAAGAGATACAGGAATGCGAGGCACGAGTTATCTCCCTTTGCATAGTCTAGCAAATGATTGAAAGTAGTTTACGAAGTGAGTTTAGATTTACGCCGCACTCAGCAATAGTCCAGCTATATGGCGGCGGTCTGTAAATAATCTAGCTAAGATGCATAGCGCTTCACTAACATGAGCGTTCATGTTAGTGAACGCTATGTATCTTAGCTATAAATAATCGAGTCTGGACCAGACAATCCAATGATCAACAGCATGAGCATCGATCTGCGCAAATGGGAACCGAAGACATGTGTCAACCAAGTCAGCGAGCCTGACCACCCGATCCCGTTAGTGGCCTCTTCGACAGGCATGGGTTATTGAAGTTTAATATTCTAACCCAGGCTCTTCATGGGTATTTTTCCAACCAAGTGTAAACGCGGGAGAAAAACCTAGAGCAAAATATTAGGGTAGTGAGCACCTTGGTTTCAGGTGCAAGTGCGTGTGAACGCTGGGTATCAAGCATAATATAATAATAATAAATGCATATTTATAGTGCGCCTATTCCACATCCTTGGGCATGCTCAAAGCTGTGTAAAGATAATTTACTCGAGAATATTTACAGCGAGATTATAAGTAATATACAGAGAACAGGTTTTAAGTCTGGACTTTAAAATGTCAATTGTGTCAGAGCTTTTAATATGTGCCTTAACCTTGTCAATAAGAATAAACAAGGCGTGGTCTTGAATAACACGCCGCCTGCCTTTAGAATCCCCAACCAAATATGCGCGAGTGAAATCAAACATATTTGTATCTTTTGCTTCAGAACATTGTTCACTTTACGGCTGTCCCTATTCTTAACCATGACGTTGCAATACTGTTGTACAAATGTGTTATACCGACCGCCTTCGGTTGTGTTCCCATGACGACAGTGGTCAGACTGGCCTGACATTTGTAAGGCTTCAGTGCAGTGTTTGTTTACATCACAGAAATATACAAATTCATTTCATGGGGGAATTTAGGGGACGCTCACGGTGAAATGCTCGCTCTTATTTTTCACATAGAATAGGAAAGCCACCATTTTGGTTTCTCTACGATTGATTTTAGCTATCCTAAGTTGGTCATGAGCAACTTAGACTTTGAATCTTAACTTTACGATTGACTTAGGTAAGATTGGTTAGTGGAACGGTATGCCGATCGTAACGTCACGCTAAGATTGGGATTTTAGGGGTTTACGATTGGCATAGGGCTAAGATCGGTTAGTGGAACGGCACCCTGATCTTGTAATGGAATGTAACTTGTATATGTATATCGTCAAAAGGTATCACAGGTCATTTATTCTTTTTTGATATTTTGAGAGTACCCTCATTGGTTATTTCCTCTCTACTTAATTATCTCTTAACCAGCTGATTGGTGAGCTATCAGACTAATCACCATTCACGTGAAAGCTAACCTTTATTTACAAATACCTTAAGAAAAGATTTAAACGAAAATGTGTTTAGTGTTGTTCAGTTAAGTTGGGAGTCACAGTGGACGGTGAGCTTTGCTAATATTCCCTGGCTTGTTTCACATTCTTTCATGTTTTTCTATTCTGACTGTCCCACTTTTGTTTTTTTATGGCTATAAAGTTATGTTATTAGTAGGACAAAAATGTCTTCAGTTGGACGGACAGATGTACTTCCTAAGTTTCATGAGTGAGTCATACTTGGTAGACATTGCAAATGAATAAAAAAATGGACATAAGAACAATACAATATAACAATGCGCTGTACATCACCAGCAACTATAGTCCTTGGTATAATTATGTACCCTCAACCTTTTTAGGTTAAGGTATAAAGATGTGTCTAGCCCATAGGCGGATCCAGAGGGGTGGGTTGGGTTGCAGGGGTGTGCACCCCCGCTTTTGTCCTGAAAGTTTAAGTGAAAATGAAGTTGCACCCCCTACCCCTTCCTTAACGCACACATGCACACACACAAAAAAAACAACTGTACCTGCCCCAGACTAACTCAGGACTAACTAGCTGAAGTCAGCATGGATTATTTCCCTAAATCATGAGTTTTTGAGATGTTGATTTTTGAGATGTATGAACAATTAAGGACGTAAGTATTGAACACACTGCTGTAATCAAAGTAGAGGATCCCTATACATGGAATTACCTGAACTTCAGTTTATCCTAGTGAACCAAACCCAAACTGATTTATAAGAAGACAGATACCTGCAATATAGATGGTGTAACAGTGGCATGATCGAACAGCAGGCAGTTGAAAGAGCCATACACCCCATCATTGATGTAGTACATGAAGGCTGGCTCATCGTCCCCAGTCACAACTTGGTCAGGGAGGTGTTCTGAAATACATGAGCATCGTGTAACTTACTCATCTGTAGCGTGTCAACACATAACGCTCTTCATTTACAAATGACAAAGTACACAAGACTGCCAAAGCCTGGTTATCACGCTTTCGAAAATACAGGACCCTCAGTTTAAGCACTATCTGGGTCCCTGTGCTCTACATTTCTTCAGCAACCCAGTTTGTAGGGGACTAAGCGACATTTGACATGCTTGGGGCAGCATATGGACAATTTCAAATTAATAATCACCTGAAACAGCACGAACTGGTTTAATAATACCTAACGGACATGAACTGAAGAAATATATCAATTCACACGAGGCAAATGATAAATGTGAGTAAACAATAGCAAAAAAACACTATATTGAGTTCTGATAGTGTTTAATTTTAATAGAATTTTGGTGTTTCAACGTTAATATTACCATTATCAAACTGAATATTAGATGTGAATGGAAAACAATGTGGATGTATTTCCCAAAAAACAAAGGTGGACAAAGGGACATAACTCATCACACACCATCATTAGACCTGTCTCTTGCAACCATCCTCTTGGCAATGATGTTGGCAGTGAGAGTGAATGCCGACGCCACAAAGTATCTGCCCGGCTCAGCGATGATTCGCACACCAGAGGATGCTGGGAAGTAGTGGTCCAGGGCTGGATTGAGGACGTCCACAACCTGCAACATCAACTTGTGCATAACAAACCGGTGGCTTTGAAAACTAGTCAAATGTATTACAGTTATCTGCCTATTCAGGGCCTCCTTTCACGAAGCACTAAGGTGATCGTAAGTCACTAAGGTAACCTTAGTGCACTGTTAAAGAATGGGAGTTAAGGTTAACCTTAGTAAAGGTTGCTTCGTGAAAGGAGCCACAGGTCTCAAAGCTTTCCCACAAGAACTAATTAATTATTGTCGAAATATTATGTTGATATTGTTTGCTAGCGGTTACATTCACATACAGTCTAGTATATTGCTAATATTGTTCGAACATATTTGTTGGTTACTGTCAAGTTGATTGTGTTGCCTTATTTCATATATATTCTGTTTAGCAATGTTCGCATTTAGAATATCAGTTATTATCAATTAATATAAATCAACAACTATTTAGCACATTTTTCTACCTTTGAAAGTTATTCTTTATGAAACTTCCTTGTATGTAAATAAAAATTGTAACACTTTGGTACAGTGGACATTGTCAAATAACCAGCACCTGAATATTCAGGCATTCTCTCTAAACCAGCATATCGTTTGAGTCCTGGAATTTTTGGGTTTGAATACTATTACTTCAACTCTGACTACTTCCAGTATGCGTATACTGTAATCGTAGTTATTTTCGCGTGGGATTAATTTTTGCGCTTTTAGTGCAAAAGGATTGTGCGCAAATAATCATACCAAGCGAAATGTTCATGGTGAAGTCAAGACAAATACTCAGGTAGGAACAACATGCAATTTGTTTATTCTCTCAGATAACAATATCAAAGCAATGTAAATTACGTGATCAAACAATGTCAAGAAGTCCACAGATGTTCGCAGTGGAAATAGCGAGATCACGCGAAACCTCATCGGTGACAGGTTAAATTGTTCCATGCATAAAAACTATCCGGCTATACAACAAAAAGCTGTCGCATAAACTTAGTTACGATTATAAATATTTTACATTTATAGAGCAATAACAATGACACAAAACTACAATATATTGCTCTTTATAAAACATTAGTTTCAGATACTAACATTTTAAGATCACTGCATCAGAATTCATCTCGGAATATTATCGGGTACGTTTAAACTAAATCTCAGGTAGGGGAACGTGTGCACTGCACAGCTGCTATTTCCGGCGCTGTATACGAGACAATTACACACGGTAATCTTAATCCCTGCATATAAGACAATGCCTAGCAAAAACAAATTAGAACTGAACAGGTAAATAATCTTTTCCAGCGATTTTCAATAGCAAATTTGACATCTTTGGTCTTCTCTTGTATGTTCGTTTACGCGAAGCGATATGACGTCAGTCACAAATCACAATGTTAACACAAGTACAGTATAATCCCACCTCTCTCTGATTGTTTTAGTAAACACGATTCAATTATGGCGACTAGCTTTGATCATTGCATGTCTATCGGTGGTGTAAACGTTGTGAAGGATACAATCACTCACTCAGGTTATTGATATGCGCTAAAAAACAGCTGCGCTAACAGGTTTTATGTGAACTTTCCGCGAAAATTGCACCCCGTGAAAATATATACAGTTACAGTATATGGGAAGCTGGCAACAATGTTGTTTCCTTGCTATAACCCATCGTTTTTACATGACATGATTGCAAGCTCACGAGAATTTGTGTAACAATACCTATCAGCATCTAAGAGCTATGACTATAGCATGTGTTCAATGTTTACCTGGGGAGTTTAACTGCTAATAAAGGACACACTGCAACTGGTAAAAGATTAGTAGCAGTCTGCAAATTACTTCAGAAAGAGGACACCTGATCAGCTGACAATTCCTAGCATTATTCACTTAGATTGTACTACTGTTAAAGGTTCACTGGACATGACTTTCATGGATCATCACACAGACAGGTACTGTATATGAGTATATCAATGATTTGACTTGCAGGAGCCTGACCACAGGAAACTACGGTCTGCAATGACACTTACGGATTATGTGTCACATAAGGTGACATTGACACTTACGGATTATGTGTCACATAAGGTGACAAACTTGATAGACTAGTCCTGTACTAACACAAATGTTGTTAATCAATGTTTTCTTTTAAAACTGATAAAATGAGTTGTCGAGCTGTGGCCAGAGAACTAAATCTACATGGATGTGTTTTCATCATACATCGCCATCCCTCGTTTTTCTTTATATATTAGTTCAGGTTCCTACTATAAAAGAGTACGCATTCCGACCAAGGAGTTACCAGAAGATGACAAAGCTCCATTCCAATATTAAGAACCAATCATGTTAACAGAGTTTTATGCCAAGTTTCATTGTTTTGAGAGCCAATCCTGACATTTCCAAATGTTTCTACAGAAACTTAAAATATGTTTGGAAAAGTTTCAAAACATCAAAAGTCATCAATTTAGGTAAAGAGCATTGTAATGGATGTGCCAAGATTGTTGACATGTGTTGAATGGTTAACAACATGGCATCAAATCCCATGGGAGCTCAAACTTGGGTGAGTGAGAGAGAGAGCTTATTTTTACGCTGCTTTTTGCAATATTCCAGCAATATCACGGCAGGGGACACCAGAAATGGGCTTCACACTTTGTACCCATGTGGGGAATCGAACCCGTGTCTTCGGCGTGACGAGTGAGCGCTTTAATCACTAGGATACCCCACCAACCCTCAAACTTGGGAGAAATTCAACATTGAAAAACTGACACAAAACACCCCCCTAAAATGACTTTGAGGTTAAGCATGTCTTCATGTCCAATGAAACTAGCCATGGCTTGATTTCTAGGTAAAACTAGTTATCTCCATTACCCTTTCCATTTGCAAAAGTTTGATTGGTAAAATGAAAACTCAGGGCAGGAAATTTGCAATTAAAAGTATCATGGGAAAGGATTCAGGGTTAGTGCAGGCTAGCCCAGGAGATACAGAGCAGTCTTACAGCCTAAACCTGGGCCTTCAATCACTGACCTCTTCAAATGATATAGCGGCAGTAACTTGGCCTGGGAATCCTCCACCAATATCCAGCAGAGTAAAGGGGAATCCCATGTTCAAGCCAGTCTGGAAGACGCCATAAGCCTGCTCCACTGCAACAGCGAAGGCAGCTGCCTCCTCAGCACCACTACCAACATGGAAGCTGCAATAACCAAACATCACTGTCTGCTCATGGACATACGTATCTTCAATACTTTAATATAGACAGATATATAAACAGAAATTGTCTATATAAAGAGAAATGATTACAGCGTTTAACACTGCATTGATCATTATGGCACTTATATAAAGGCTGGAAGATTCACAGGTTTGTATTTGCCAGCTAACACTGGTCCATACTAATGCAGGTTATATAGTGGCAGACCATTGAGCTAACAGTCCTAGAACTATGAATTTGTGCTCCAACAAGTATGTTTTGGTAATGAATACAATATGATGTTTGATTTGATGTTTTTATCGTTTTTATCAGTTCCATAATATACTTCATAATCATGCTAAGCTACAAGAGTGAGTTATGATATATAGTGACATCGGCAGTACTTCAGCCATACTGTGTGTCATTCATTGATAATAGATAATGTTATATTATATAATGTGTCAACGAAGGACAGTAAAACACCAGAATATTAGAGATTTAAAACTAGCATGTAACTTAAATCACTGTTTGGGATAATACAATATAAAAACAGGCTATAGATTGTCAGCAACGTAAGTCATCGCAAGGCACTGACATCCACCAATATGATAATTGTTATGGCAAAACATATGTGAAAACTTTGAATATCATGAGTTGTCCTTCCAGATTGCACACCTACCTGACTCCCACAACATTGAGCTCCAGTTCCTTGGCTTTCTCCAGCAGCTGTTTGGCCTTTGATGGATGACAGCCAAACTTCATTCCCAGCTCACACTGTACCTTGAAGTTGCTCGGAGGAAGGATACGAAGAACCAGTCTGTGGACCAGCATGATGAGACAGTGAAACAAAGAACACTTACTACATTACTGTAATTGAGATACATCTGGGAAGATCAGGACATTTGCAAGTACAACTAGATTTTTTCTTGAGCTACACAAGCTAATATTGCAAATAAACCAAGACTTTCAGTTACACAAGAGCATGATAACTTAAACGTGGGAGAAAATAAAGTGATTGTGGACAGTTAACACTTTGATGAAATCAACAATCAAGAGTATACTGAATAAAATATCAAGAACTCTGACAATCTTGAATTTGAAGCCAACACTCTCCAAGACTTCAATGGCCACCTTGTAGTCTACAGAGTACAAGCAGTAGCCAACAACTCTGCAAATACCTAGCCAAGGATCCTGCAAGCACCCACAATTGACTTGGCAAGCTTTGTAAGAACTTACCTTGCATCAGGGAAGACAGCTTTGACCTTGAGTAATTCAGCTTCGTTGTCAAAGGTCATGAGGTCAACATTGCGTTTGGCAGCATGACGCAGGAAGGAAGTCTGCTTGCAAGGATTGGCGTAGATGATGCGTGAAGGGGGGAGGCCAAGGTTCAGTACCTTGTCAATTTCCATCTAAAATGACACCACACCACACTGGCCATCATGTCAATTTGTTTCAACTTTATAGAACAAGCTTATAGAAGTACTTTCAAACAGTCTAAGTAAACTTAGGCTCAGTATTATTTGTTACACTGCTATACTGAGTCTAACAAAACCTTGTGGAAGGTTGGTCAGGTAACCTTTCAACGACCTATGACCGTCCAATCAAATGCGAGATGGCTAAACGGATTTAACCAATCAGACAACGGCTACTAGTTAGTGTTTGGCGGGACTTACAAAATGGATTTTCTCTTGCCCGGTTGCCAACACTGATCTCATAACAAATGAAAACCTGCATAAAGCACAGACATATGACCTGCAGAATATACGCTTTTGGGTTTCTGTTGACATGGCTATCATTAGCTTATATTTCCGCAAGCTGATATCCTTGAATACTGACAAAACGCCATTCTCAGCGACTGTTAACTCACTCTTGTGGCGTGCTCCATGTGCATCACTTGGAAGCAATCGTACGGAAAATAGCATTCGGAATCGTTCGGGTGCAAAACCTTTTCGAGGTAAAAGTTCAAAAGGTATGTGCGAATGTCAGCTTTCGCGATTTGGTAAGCTGTGTTCTGATTCCACAAGGTTTGTTAGACTCAGTATAGCAGAGTAATGAATAATACTGAGCCTAAGCGTACTTAGACTGACTTTCAAATAGATTGGCTTTGTGCTGCAACATATCAGCCAGCTGTTGGCGAAAATCCTGAAGTAGTCATTGATGTTTACCACTTAGGGCAAATCTACGAGCATATGGTGATGACAAATTAAGAAGCATTATCAGGGTGATCCCCATGGGAACTCGGAATCAGATTTTTGGCATGCCTCAAAGAAGTATCTCTGTTCAGTGAACAAACAGTTTTCCTGGCCGTCCAGGCAATCTAGGCCATATATGCACTATATACTGACAGTAGAACTTGGTTATTAGGAACATTACAGCTTTATCAGGAAGCCTGTCATAAACAGATAAATATTTCAAATGAAACCGAAACTCCAGTTTAGTTTGACATGTTGCACAACATGTGCAGATCACCGGATACCTTAAAACTAATGACAAATATGCCCCAGGAGATACAATTTGGGGTTCATAGTCTCAAAGGGTTTGGTAAAAATAGAAATCTGCCCTTCAACTACCACATTAAAGATTTTAAAGACTTTTCCAATCAGTGTGCAAAACCATGACCTATATTCCTTTCCATGTTAAAACACATGAAAGCCTAAAAAGCATAACAATTAGTTAAATCTATTTGAGAAAACATTATTTTTTCCCCAATATAATTCTTTTGCATTGGTTTCTTATAAGTAACTCACCTTGCTCGCACAGTCAAATGATGTCCCCAGATCTCCGAGAAGTTTAAGAACACCATAGTCATCATTGCACTTGACAGCTGAAACAAAGGAAATCAGGAGTTTACTGGAAATGGATGGTATGGTGTGGCTGTCTTTTCTGAGTATGGCTGTCTTTTCTGAGTATGGCTGTCTTTTACAAGTGATTGTGGGTAAGCATTATCTTCTTGAAGGAACTATTAATTGTTGCGCTACAACCAAAGGTCCAAATTGGTGATTAGACCGCAACATCTTCTGTAGCATAATCTGAGAAAGTGGTTGGCAAAGACAGTATCAGACTTCCAGAAACATCCTTCCAAACTGGGAAGCGTTAGCATGGATGCTATAGCTCTAACTTTGTGTAGTGGACTCGATGCTGTAGGAGGATCGCGTCCTGCACACTTGTGGACCGAGAATTACTGCTCTCATTCAAAATCATATATAGTGTCTAATTTACTTTTCAGATGAAGTTTGCCCTGGGCCCATGGTTAATTAAACTGGTGGGACATTTGCCATTGTAGGTGGGTCATCAGAAAATACAAGGGAGACAATGCATTCACTCGGCAATTTTAATAAATTTGTCATTCAAATAGCTGTTCAGTTGTATCAATTAAAGTGTTAATTTAAACACTGTTGATTTGGCCATAATAGTTATCATCTAACTCTGTTGTAATTTTGAGTTATTAAAAAATAGAAAACAGTTACAGTCACTTTGGTAATACTGGACACTAGGTAAGTTTTGTCACATCTTTTGAAACAGTATTCTTTGTTTCACTGATCGCCATTCATTACGACTGTCCTCAAAATTGAAATCCTGAATTCTGGAACCTTTAACAGCTATGAGTAGAAGTTCAAGTTTCTCATCTAAAAGTTGATTGCTCAGTGATGTTTGCACCAAATTATGGGAACTAAAACCTCACTCACAGCCTGATGTGTGGATGGATGCTGTGAGTGTAACTGAAGCAAGAATCAGTAGATTAGGAAAGTCTTGGGAGTGGTACCTGTGTTACAAACTCCACAGATTCTGCATGTTATCTCTTGGATAATCCGAGTTAACCACTTCCTTCTTCAGTTTCCTCCATTCCACCCAACATCAGCAGCATCAATGATTGCTTTCACATGTACTTCAGTCCCATTAACAACCCGTGATTTATCACTCCCAAAGTGTTCCAATAGCTTCTCTAATTTCAGATTTCCCTCATTTCAAGTTCATCACTGATGAGAAATGAAACTGGACGCATACCAAGCACACCAAAGGCATATATGATGCTGTTGTTTGGAAACCTTGTCTCAAGATTTTTTATTACAGCTTGTATAAAGTTATTTCTGATATTTTCAATGTCATTTCTACGCTTCAGATGATTGGACTTGAACTGAGCTTTTCCTGATTCATTACGTGTCACATCAATTTGATACATGTAGTTAAGTTTTCTGTGTTCCTTTTCACCACAAAGTTCCTTCCGAGATGGAATGGAATTTTCTACTGATACTTGCACAAGAGAAATAAAGATTTCTCTTCTGAAACACCAGTTACAGTTTGGAGAGAATAGACAATACACTCATCAAAAGATAAATGCAACCAACAAAATTTTGCTGAGAAATTTTCTTTGCTAATCCCTGACCCTTTGCATCCTTCTGATTGATGAAAAGTGTCATTATTGAATCTAAGCACCTGTACACAGTTTCAACTGCTTTATAGGTTGCCAACCATTGTACAGAATGAACTTCATTCTAAGTGTAGGCTCTTCTAAAAGAGTCGGTATCTCTCTCTCAAGGACTCATTTCTGTTGGCAGAATGCTTGACATAATAAAACATGGAGGTCAATGTCTCACTATAGTCATCAACTGCTGGAATATTTTCTGCAGCTTGAGAAGAAACCAATGCTAGACGGTGCGCTATGCAGTGGTAATTTACCATCAACAGATTTTTGTTCAACAACTGCCCAGTAACTCCTTTGTCCAAACCTGTCATGACAGATGCCCCTTCACTTCCAAAACCCATACATTTAACTATGGGTACATTCTTTTCATCAAGGATATTTGTAAGTGTCTCTGCTATTGAAGTCTGGCATTAGTAATGAAATGTGTAGATGCAGCAAATGTCTCTGGGTCAATCACAGTTGCATTCACTGTTAACTTTTTGTGAACGGTGATGTCCGTACTTTCATCAGTCAATATGCTTACGAACGGGGAACGAAAAAGCTTATTGTCCAAGTCTCTCCTTATAACTGATGCCAGCGCCAACACCATTTCGTTAGCTGTTGGAATGCTGGTGTATGTTGTATATCCTGACCCACAGCTTTCCCTAATCTTTAAATTCTCAATGAAAGGACAACATAGTTCTTTCAAAAGGTTCATCAAACTGGGATACTTTCGCATGGGCAAGGCAAAGAACTACTTTCATACATTGAATTGCTGCCTTTCATTTGTCCCTTCAATGATTCAGCTTGCACGGCAAGTTTATGGTCGGCACTATCAGCGTGTCTCTTGAGCGTGGAAGTACGGAAATTATCAGTTCCATCAGTGAAAACATTATGTTTTCCATTTTTCAAAGTGCACAAGTCATTTTGTTTTTACACTCATTATCCGGAACCCACGGATACAAACCATGCCATTCCGTTTGGAACGAACGGGTCGATGTTTTGCTCTCAGTTTCAGCATCGGTCGGCGTGTCATTGGCTTTTGATGATTCTGTTTCAATTACTGAATTAGAACTGTCAACGGTTTCGGCATTTTCTCTATCAGGTTTTGTTCTTTTTATTTAAAAAAACGAATGTATTTGCGCCTGCCGCTTGACAGCAGCAGACGACTTTTCACCCGACAGTTTGTTTCGATAATTGCACACTGCCTTTTCAACTTCAGTAAACCGCCCTTTGATATAGACCTGGGAAATACACTGGTAAGGGGCACAACTCCGAATGTATAACGAAACAGCATGACTTGAATAAGCTTGATGGGTAGTATATATCTTGGTAGCCTGTCAGTATTTATTTTTGTACACATTGTTTTGTTGATCAATGTAGACTTGGGTTGTTTGTGATTTTTTACAATCTTGCCTCAAATGACAATTTAAACTTATGAAAAATATTATATCCAGGAGTTATTAGGTTCTTGTAGATGCACCCTCAAGTCACGTTTTTCACAGAAACCAACCACAAAAGCTGATATATTTAATTTAATGCCCACTATTATCACATAGTTAAAAGAAATTGACAAATATACAGTATTGTAACAGAGTTCAAATGTTTACCTGGGAATTGCACAAGTTGTAAAAAAATATTTAATTCTTAATCAGTGTAACCGATTATACAATCAATCAATCATTGATCGGAGGGGACAATCCGATAGCAACCGATAAATCGATTATGAAATTTCAACTGATTCTCACCACTAGTCCTAATAGTTTGAATAGGTCCTAATCGTAGCGTGCCTCTCACTGGAAGTATTTGTGTCGACATGAGGAGTCCAAATATCACCTGTCACTTTTATCCACTGATCTTCTGGCACTTGAAAGGATTTTTTGTTCATGAGGAATCTGATTCCTAGAAACTTGAGAAGGTAGAAGATTTGACTTCTGACAGCTGATTAATCAACCTAGTTGGATTAACAACTGGAGTGTGAAGAGACATGCTGTGATGTTGTTACATATGTGACAGTTGCCATCGGAAACAATCTTTGTTTGGCAAACATTACTTGTCACCATCCCTGCATATCTCATTGATATTTATGTGGTGGAAGTCTGAAAATGAAGTAGTCCTTGTCTCCACTTGTTTAGTTTACTGTTACACTGTGGATCCTTCTTCAACAACTGGGCTGTTCCTAACCACACACAGTGATCAAGAACAGTGGGGATTTAGTACTCACCATAAAAAGGCTCCACCCTTGGCAGGAGTCTTCTCCATTTCTTATACTTGGCAACAATGTCACCAAGATCAGCAATGAAGAAGGCATCTTCACATTGCTGAAAGACGAACATATAAGTATTTAGTCTTATGTCTAGACTTAACTTCATGATCAGTAGTACTAGAACAGTACAGCCAAGTATTCAAAGATGGAAGGTAGCTGTGCTGGCACCATATTAACTTGAATGTTGCTGTTGTTACAACACAGGTATCAGCTCAATGACCTGGTCATGATAATGCATAGAAACTAGTTCAAACGATAATACTACACACACTGACAAGTTAACCCCCTGGATGAAGAAGGGGATTTTAATGCACATTTGTATAAGGTCTGAAAAGAGAACGAATTGGCACTGGATCTACCAACAGCTATAAAACTACACAGAAAAGAAGAAAATATATATTTTCTATACAATGTAAATTCAAGTGCGAACGCTTAGGCAGTTTGAAAAATAGGAACTGCTAATACATACAAAACATTTCTTCGCTTTTTACAGTGCACCAATGACAACCCTTCAACTCTTTGCGGGAAGTGTGAGCGAACAAAATACAACCTGATCTCTGAACGATATAAGTATATATCAAATGGATTTGTGAGCTTATGTATAATGTTATATATTTAACATATGAAATGACTTGCCGTAATTGGCAAATATTGACTTTCCTTTACGGCAAACAGCGACAGAGCTTACACAAGCATAAAGAAGAGGGGGCATAACTCTGCTATGCTTAACACTCAGTCATTGTAGGTGAGGTGAAATTGGGTTTAACGTCGTGCTTGAAAATACTTCGCTCATATGACGACGTGCATGCGTGTGTATGTGTATGTGCGGCTGCTTGTACTAGCCCAGACTTAAGCTGGTTTTATAGTGCTAGCTCACTGAGATACCATGCCGCAGTGAAGCATGAATACCCCACTCAGACACATACTGACTCCGAGCCGACCAGTCCTTGTTGTACCCATTAATGCCGAGTGCAGGCAGGTACCAACAAGTACCATATTTTAACGTCTTTTGGTATGACGCGGTCGGGGATCGAACCCGCGACCTTCATCTCTCCGGGCGGCAGCTCTAACCACTACACCATGGAGGCGGTTCTCTGTCATTGTAAACTCAGGTCATTAGGAATGAATTCGCTGTGGATAACGACATTGTGTTTTCGTGAGGTTTCGTTCATGATGGACAAACTATTCCAATGCAAAGATCCACATTGTAACTAGATACGTTTTGGTTGTATCACAAATTACAAGAAATGTCGAAATAACACCCTGAGTGGCATTCAGAAGCTGGTATGAAGAGCAACAAATTCTACGGAATGACAACTTCTTTAATGGCGTCCTGGGGGCATGGTGGGCGAGCTGGCTAAGGCGCCAGGCTATTGAATCAGCGAGCATAAGGTGCTGGGATAGAGCCCACCTGGGTGTAAACACCTTGGAGTCAACTTTATGTGCAGACTCTTTCAGTGTTGTCACAACCCCTAGTGTACAGTACACAACCCTGTGCACTTAAAGAACCCACAAATCCGTTTGGTATATGACCAGATGGTGGCCACATGAATATGTGCAAACACCTGGTTGCGGGTACAGCAACGTGAGTAAACTTGGACAAAGTACTGTGACTATGTGTCCCAGTTTACCCAGCTGTGAATGGGTACCTCGTAGGGATGGGAAAGCCGCAATAACTTGGTGTGCCTTGTGTAGATTGATATTCAGTTTAATATCTGGTCATCACAATGATGACAATATTATATATTTATCAAACCAAAAATTGACCATATTATCGAAAACAATGTTAGTGAATGGTATAATGTTTGTGACAAACGTGCACCTGGCCAAGCATGATACATCATTGTTCTGTCCATACAATGACAAATTCCATGACCAAGACAACAAATAACACCATGGGTCGTGATTTTGTAAATTCTGCCAAAAAGGGCTACATTTACCATGTACTTAATTTTTAGTGGTCATTCTCAGTCATTTGCCTTACCTAACATGATGGTGGATGATGACATTAAGGAACAGGAATTTCAGAACAGAATTCATAATTGTGAAGTGTATTTTTGTGCAGGATATATTTTGAATTTTATCGAAGGTTGAGTAAGACGGACTTGTATGCTCCAGGGGGGTTAAAGGGAAATAGAAAATAGATTAAATTCACAAGAGGTTTATCCAGCCATGGATTAAAAAACAAGAACTTGGATGAAAATACTGTGCAACTACACAATGTTAATTTTCTCAGACAATAACTACTGGTAATCAGGGAAAGAAAACAGGCAAATGAAAAGTAAAATTCATCTTGATTCAACTTTAAATAAGACTATAAATGTGGCCACACACACACACACACACACACACACAGAGACAGAGAGAGAGAGAGGGAGGAGAGAGAGAAGAGAGATGTCCTCTTGTTCTGACATCGACTTAAACAGAGAATTAAGCCTGGGACAGGCAACACTAAAACTTGCGTCTAGTGGTTCCACAGTACGACCCAGACTACACTGAGCTTCCACACTTCATCACAAGATCTGACCAACTCCTAGGATACACTAGTTACTTTCATTCAGCTAATGTTAACATTCTTTCTTATTATTATCCATATGGTGAAACATAACCAGTGTCACATACATCATATGTGCACATATAACTTTTGCCTAGCAACCATTGTTTCTGTATTTCGTCGTCTGTGACGTGAGAGCTCTTGCTTGGGCAATACAAAATTTCACACTCATTTCACAGTAAGTCATATGACACACTTGCTTGTGTAATAATCTCTATTTATGCAAGTATTCATTCCACCCAAATGTTTTGAATACAAATACTTAAGAGCATGCTTGATTAGATTGTCTTCTTCATGTATTACAAATTTTTGAAAGGGCTCCTGCTAAAAACCCTTCTTAATTTATTTTAAAACTCTCGGGACTTACAGAGGGCACCTAGGTAGGGTTGGGTTACAGAGGATCACGAAACCGGTCAGTAGATTTGGACTTGTCCCTATTGTGAATACTTTTTGGCACGACATCGCCAAAGTGATCGTAATATCAGTCCCTGTTAGGCAAGAACTAGTCTGTCATAAAGAACCTGAAGCAAATATATCCAACAGGGCTCAAGATAAAGGCTGTATTGGCGTATGTACGGATAATGATTAAGCACGATACGACAGGAAATAATTTAGGAAACGTAGCAGATACGCTAATGGTGTATGGTCTTAGAATCATTTACAGACGTATTTATCTGAAAAATTATTGTTTTATTGTATATTGACCTCTTTACACAATGTTGTAGCAATGTTGTGGTGCATATATGAAACGAAACACAAGATTACTGATACACCATTAAATTCCATTCAGTACTCTAAATGTACTCTTAAGTTTTTCCCAGGACTCCTATATTGAAAAAATAAGGAGTACATACTCCTGATGTTGAAAAATTATCTGGAGCCAAGATCCAAGATAGCCCACACAAGTCTAGAAAATGTGGCAAGTTTCCACAGCTTCTGAAAATGAACAAAGTCGCAGGGATCCTTTTCATTATATTTTATTTTTTTTCTGTAAAATGTGTTCATTTCCGAGACTAGTTGTTAGTCTAGGCAAGAACAGAAATATGTCCTAATTGAATATCTTCTAATAATTGATAGAAATGCAGATCAAATCACCAACAGACCTACCTCATTGTTCAGAAGTGCAGCCTTCTCAGCGACCATGCAGGCCTTAGCCTTCTCGTAGGGCATCGATTCCACAGTGCAACCGTTTCCAATGTAATGCTTCATTTTCTAGCTCAAAAGTCCGCAAAGATAGTCTGAGTTCAAGGGTATACAAACAATCTAAAACAGAAGTGTGAAAAGTAATTTTACTTTAGTAATATGTGACCTTGTCATGTGAACTGATGCAGGAGGATTTGCTAAAATCTTTCTTAGCATCATGGCTCAAGAAAAGTTCATATGTTACTGATGATGTATTTCTAGCATAAATGTTCTTTGCTGAACTCTTCCACATAAATAAGAGAAGTGGCAAGGAGCACATTTTTTATGCAGGGAGACAAACTTAAAGCTGCTGTGAGCTATACCACTTCATGATAGGGTCACAAGAAATGGGGACATTTTACCCATGCTGTGACATGAACAACTGAACATTTCCCTAATTTGATCAACTTTAGAAAGAACACTGATCTGAAAATTTCTTGCACAAGTCTGCATGTAATTCATTGTATTACACCCTGTACCAACAATGTGTTTTTACACTAATGGGCTTGCTGGTATTCATCCTGACTGATCACTGTAATACAAGGCTCTGGAATCTCACCTGGCCAGAGGGAACACCTGCTTTTAGCAAATACTAGCTGGGATCCCACGGTGGCTCTGCGTTGAAGTTAAATTTTTTTTTTGAACGGCAGAGCCCCTCTGGGCTTTCTGTGTAGAAGACAGCCAAGCCTCCTGCAAAGTGCAAAATAACAGTTGACAACAGTGCAAGTGAGCGTGTTCAGTTGGGTTTAATTTAATGCTGCTTCTAACAGTATTAAGATACATGGCATGGCAACATTGTGTGAGGAAAGACTGAAGTGAAGCCAGTCTCAGTAAGTGAAGTGTGGTTTAATGCTGCGTTTAGCAATATTCCAGCAATATCATGACAGGGCCTTAGGGGACACCAGAAATGGGCTCCACACATTGTACCAATGTACCAATCAAATCCGATGGTCGCCGGCATGACAAGCAACACTTAAAAGAACAAATAAATGTTTTTTTGTACTCTTTTAACCATTACATATGAAAGATTTGTGGTTAGTCTTATGCGGAACACCAAATTCATTCTTAAAAAACTTGTTAATTAATACCGAGCGATTAAAAGTTGCTTCACTCTCGCCCACCAACTTAACAAAAGACAGGTTATGTAACTCTGTCGCCAGAGCACTGCAGTGAAGTCATATGAGGAAGGATTTTCAGTTAGTTGTATAGAAAGTGTGTGGCAAGCTCGTCATTTTGATGATTTCTCGAATTTGACGAATTGTTGCGTTGTCGTCAATTGCTCCTAGGGGTTGGGCGATGGTGTCACCATGCACAGATTTCTACAGGACACCGCAGTTCGTGCTAAATGGGTTTTGTTTATGAGTGCAAAGCGAGCGTTCTGGAAGCCTGAAACGATATCCTACTTGTGTTCAGATCGCTTCATGGGAGTTAAAGAATCAAAACTATACTAGGCACATAAGAAACTGTGCATACAAAAATTTAAAATCTAAATTTATCAAACGTGTAGACACTTCGCCGTATCCACCCCAACAGTTTTACAAAGTTTCCATCATCACGGGATCAGACCACGACGTCCCGCCATACAAGTCATAGACAAGCTCGCTGAATGTGGTGCCGAAATCATATTCGCAGACCCTTGTTTTGGTGGAGAAATGTTTTTACAGACGAGTCCAGGTTTAACATTTCCCATAGTGATGGACGTCAACGTGCCTATAGACGCATGGGAGAACGTTATGCACAGGCCTGTGTCCTGGAGAGGAATCGCTTTGGTGGTGGTTCCGTGATGATTTGGGGTGGAATAACAGCACGCCAAAGAACGCCTTTGGTGATTGTTCAGGGCTACAGGGATCAGATTCTTCGACCTGTAGCAATTTCTTTTCTGCAAAGTCATGGCCCTGGGTTAACATTCCAACAGGACAATGCCCGCCCTCATACAGCAAGGGTTGCTATGGATTTCTTGCAACACCACAACGTTGACTTACTGCCTTGGCCTACATGTTTGGGACGAGATGGATCGATGTCTACGCCGTCTTCCTCATCTGCCATATAACGTCCTTGACCTTGCACCAGAACTTGAGAGAATCTGGCGTGACATCCCACAAGCCTTCCTTGCACGTTTGATAGGCTCTATGCATCGTCGATGCACTGCTGTTCTCAATGCCGATGGTGGACATAGCCGTTACTGAGCTTGTGACATGGTCGTTTGACCCTTGTCCCGCTTGTGGACTCGTGACGTCATTGTGATTGAGTTTTCAATTGAAATTCTCCCGACTTGTTATGGTCTCATGATCCCTCCATTAAAGTTTATATGTACCTTTGACATTGTTATCGTACTTATCAACTGGGATAATATTTTGACAATGCACAGTTTCTGTATGTGGCTAGTATACTTACTAGTTGTAGTAAAATATGTATGTGATTGATGACCATAAAGATTTTCCATGACACAACTTGTAACATAACAATTTCTTCCTCGGAAGCGAGGTTGTGGAATCATGGTGTTTGCCGTGAAGTGTAATGAGACAGACAACATACAAGCGATTTTGACAGAATCGTCTATGAAAACAAGTTGTAACTCAGAAACTAGGCAAAACAGGAGACAAAATTAAATGACAGTAGATTGTGAGAACATATAGCTTTCATTTTTTCACAACAGTTGTCACGAGTTCAGGTTTATACAAACCTGTAAACAAGATAATTTACTCCCTGAAATGTACATGAATTCTGCATCGGCCCTCATAGGACGTCACAGAGAGGCGCTGCTCTGATTGTTTGAAATTTCGTTCCGAGGGTGAGAATTGTGCACTGTTGTCAAAAAGGTCAATTTAATTAAAGATCGAAATGAGTAGTTTTAATGATGGGGTTTCATTTATAACGATGCCAATTAGTGATTTATGTATTTGTACCCCGCTAGAGTATATGTGATCTTTAACCACTAGGCTACCCCACCGCCCGCCAGTCTCAGGAGCTTACCCACTTTGACAAAACCCATGAGCATGGGTATGGCCTTGACAAAACTAGAGACAAACAGGGTGAACCAAGACTCAACCCCACAGTTGTAGGTTCCTGGTGTGTCCAACTCTCAGCAGTGAATGTCGTGCTTTGGATTATAAGCCACCTATGCCCTAAACTATTAGTGAGAGAGACCAGCAGTACCTCCTGAAGAAATTAATAGGCCAATAAGGAAAAAACACACATTCATTTGTGACCTTACAATCAATGAACCAGCTACTTGCGCTATATTATCATTAACAAACTTCACATAGCTAGATAACATATTCTAATCTAAATCTTACATTCAAAACAACGTTACAGGACCTGAAGCGTTGAGATTGAGTGAGCGAGAGAGTTTAGTTTATCGCCGCTTTTAGCAATATTCCAGCATTATCACGACGGAGACACCAGAAATGGGCTTCACACTCCAGACGAAAGAACAGTGCTATACCCATTCCTCACTGATTGAAAACAATCATACTAAACTTGTCTGCCAGCAAACTCACTGAATTCATACACTAGCCAACGTACGAGATATATTTCTCACCTCCTACACTATTTATGAAAGCTCATTTTGTGCTCAATTCACAAGCAATTAAACTTGAGAAATGATAACTGATGAACAGGTATAATGTAACTAAATGAAGGAATTGGGATGCTTTCACCACTGATTGGTGGCTTTCATTATTTTGTCATCTCTTGCTATGTCAAGCAGTCTGGGAATACAGCTACAAGTTTGAGGACCAAGCCAAATTTGGTCAGCGCGAGTGAGCTCATCTTTGTACTAGTCCAAATAAAAACACTGAAGTCTACCGATATTGATGTTCAGAGCCATGTTTGTCAGAAATGTTTTTGGAAAACCGTCTGTCCAGTGAATATCTAAACATGTTTTAGGTTTTAACTTTTATGTGAACCTACCCAACATTCACCCCTCTGCAAAATAACGTAAAATAGAATCTAACTCCCTCGTACTCTACAAGAAGCACTTCCAAAAAGAGGGGCTTCATCGCGGGGCATGACCTACAGTATCTTACTCGTGGAAGGAAACCAGATAGCACCGCATGAAGATTTGGCAAAAAAGTGACGTCACGATATGTAGGTTGTGTAAATGTCACTGAATGATGAAGCAGAAACTATCATTGCCATAACATCCCCTCCATGTCACTTATATATGTGAATAATTCGGAACGGATAGGGTGGAATTCTTTCCTCAGTCAGTTCCACCAGGATAGTTAATTGCGTTGAATTACACTCCATATCGTTAATCATTCATATTGATATAGGTTCTAAAAGCTGACAATGTTTAATATCTATGCTAATTCTATTTTCGGCCCATCAGTAATCAGTTAGTTCCGTTGGATAACATAGTTACGCTTTGTCGGCTGTTATGGATGTAACCACGAACACGCATGGTTGTCACATGTCACAAACGGGATGGCTATGAATGAAATGTCCCTGTTGTAGAAATAATTCGGAAATACTTCTCACCTGCACAGAAGCTTCAAGACCGTTTGCTTCTTCTTTTACGGCCGTAATCTTGACGGCTTTACGGGATCAATGAGAAAATATTAATGCATTAATGATGTAAAAGAAGACGGGATCTGTACAGCTAAACAATGCTATCCCGTCGCCATGCGTCAGAGACTGTTGCAAATGGCGGACGTGTTATTTATATACCCTGCGATGCGTATGAATACACTAAGGATGGAAATCACCCAATTACGTGTACAGTTAGCGTTAATGAGAATGGCAACATATCACACAAACAGTGGTATTTCTATAATTAGTAATAAACGGGATAGAAACGACCTGGACACTGTTATACCAATGACAGATATAGGAACTATTTTGCTTACATATCTGTGAGGATGTTACTCAATTTGAGTAAATATGGCGATAACGCGACAATGCGTAATGCAATGTTTCATGGGCTGAGGAAATTACATGTCTAAAAATACAGCGTTACGAAATACATGGAGTGGTCTTTCCTTTCTTGCTTATAACAAGCCTGTCTTTACAGATCTTACCGTATATCATTAATGATATAATTATTTGCTCCTATGTTTCCACCGGTTCAACTATTGCTATCAGCTGATTAAACTGCTCTCCATTGTGTCCCAGAATACTGTACAGTTAATGCAGGAATAGATTATACGCATGGTTGACCTGTTAACTCCTCATTATATACGTATATAGCCTTGAGTGAAGTAAAGTTCGGTACAGGTGTTTCAACGAGTTATTATTTTTTAACTTTGACGTCAGTGTTTTAATTGTAGTTTTGAATTTGAAAGAGATGCTCAATATATAAAACCAGGGCTTCAATGTGACGATACAGATGTAACTTATCTTTGGTCACCGCGTTAAATGTTTTATGTTGCACATATGTATCAAGGAATGAAGTTTTCTCAGAAAGCTGGAGAGAGGGATAGCGGTTTACAAAACTGAACAAGCACGTACTTCGTCAGAACTGAATTTGGTTCTTTTCTGAGACTCCAAAGAAGCAAGTCAAATTTAACAAACCCTTAAAAGTTTTTGAGAATCATCATGCAATTAATTCCATTTGTGTAAAATACCTTTGCTAATAAAGAAAACCATTTCTTGATCGTATTAAAAGGTATATAATAGGTTTGTTTCTATGAGAGGGATTTGCTGGTATTTATTTCTGGACCTAACAAAAGATCTGTCTGTACG